TGGGCCACGGCGTCAAGGTGAGACTCCTGTTTTTAATCATTAATTTTAAATGTGTTATTGTGTGGGCATGAGGTTTGGCTTTTCGTGGTTTTGGAGAGGGCATGAGTTTTTCTATAGCCGTTTAGTGGATAGATGTGTGCCTTTATTAATATCGTGGCAAATTCAAAAGACCAAACAAACATGAGACAAAGATCATATTGTCTGTCGAGAAGAGACCGCAGCCATTTACAAGAATACAATAATACTTTTTGTCCCTGTTATTGTCAATCGGCCTATGGATTTTGATTTGAATGTATTGTGAAGTTTTGGTAGTGTTTAGAGGTGGGGATTGGCCAAAATGTGATGCTTGGATAGTATTGCAATATCTAGGCCTCAATTCAAGATTATTGCGATAATTAACATATTGTGATACAGCAGGTATCGCGATTCAATTCTGCGATATATTGCAATGTATGTCCCTCGTATCATTCAAAGACATTACAAAAATTGAGGAAAATAAAACTGCTCAACTCAAATGTCACGTAAATGAAGTGCAAAAACGTTCGAGGCCTTATTACATTAAATGACCAGAGTAAAAATTTAAACAGATAATTAGTTAATGAAATATCGCAATCACTCTACTGTATCGATTTAATTGCGTGCAAAAAATATCGCGATACTGAACAGAATCATGTTTTCTCTTCTCCCTCTACTACCTACACCTTTTTCTGGTTCTTTAGAAAGACAAGTTAGATGTATTCAAAAAGGTTAATTTTGTCCTGTTGATTAAAAGTATTATTTGTGGTCCTCATGAGTCTTAACGTCTTTCAAAAGAACCATAAAAAAACATTTTAACTAATACAAATTAACCGGTTTGAATCAGCCCACACATTACTATAATATCCACCTCTTCTTCTGTTTACTTGGCTCCAGTTTCCTCTCCTCCCCCTCTCTTATTTTTGCCCGAAGTTACTCCTTGATTTGTATCTACTCTTTTTTGTTGCTCTGAGCTTAGTAGAGCTTTCATCTCCGCCGCTGTTTCTGACCCTGCCGTGATGCGTCCCGCGTGGGTTGGCTCGAGAACGGGCCGGGGGTGTAGATGGATCTCCAACGCATTACATCACACACAGAAACACACTCTATTCCTGGCTGACACATATTCGCGAGACAAGTTTAAAAGCACTCACGCATCATCCTGGCCTCGTAATCTGCTACTCCGGTTTCTGGGAGAACCGCACAATAACATTTGAGGCTTTTAACTCCGGCTTTTTTCATGTTTTGGATAGTTATGGATAGTCTCGGATGTAAGGGTGGTCAATGGGTCATGGCAGCCGACTTCCCATCAATCAACCAATCAATGGAGCCAAAACAGATTAAGAGGCGGGGATAGGGCTGCAGCTCTGATAAGTGAAGGCTGAGAAAGGCATTGAAAGGCACCATCTTGTGTGTAGTCTCTCTATAAAGGCTCTGAAGGCGGCCGGAAGAGCCCCATGTAAAAGACCAAAGAGAGAATTGTCCCATCAGTCTAGTTGGACCAGAGCATACAGATTACTCAACTTACTTCACCACACATTCTCCTTGCCTTGCTGTACACATCAGGGCACTCAAACCAACTATGATTGTTGAAATTCACCGGCCACTGAAAAGTACAGAGGCTGACAAGGACTGGACCATAAAGATTTATTCAATTAATCAACCTTTTAGAGTATCGAAAATGTGAGAAATGTCCAAAATCAAGGTCAGGATCATGTCTCTTCTTGCCTCTGCTTCTCTGGGGTCTGTAATTTATCTGAGTCGTGCTGTGCAATTGGATGCAGGGAAAAAGACACATTGATTACATTTGAGATGTTTGTACAATTTGAATATTAAGCAGTTCGAAGGCTTTGGTCAACAAGAAGAACCGATGGGAAGAGTGAGCAGGAGAAAGCATGAAGTATATTTTTCCATTCTATCTGGTTCACAGAAGAACTCAAAAGCCGATTTTTATGTTTCCCTTGACTTTTTATATTTAGGGACGTGTCATTGTTCCTTCGCCACAAAATACCAGGTTCAGGAGCCAGGCGGCTCCAGACCCTCTCGGTGTGAAGTTTCCACTGGGCGTTCTGAGATGACATTACAATTCTCTGCGGAGCTATCCTGGTTAAAGATAGATCCATAAGAAACCTCCAGAGACTGTGACTGAGCACTCAATAACGATTGGTTGCAGATTTGTTTGAAACTTAACATCATTAAGTCCAAAAAAGTTCAAAACAAGTGATATAAATACAGAGCAAAAGTCATGTGCAAATAAATACGTTTTGAAGTATTTGCATGAGGACAAAAATTCAATTAAATGTATTTTTGGTTGGCACTTAATCACAACAGCAGCTATCTCGGAGGACTTTACAAAGTTGTGTATTCGCCAACAATAGATTGAAGAATCAAACCATTCGCACATAGGAATTTCAATAATAACAAACACATAAGAGCCACTGGATGACCACTGTCCAAATGTCATTAAATGTCCCAAGAATTTCAAAGTATATGTTTAATTATATTCTCAGTGGAAATTATTTCTGTATCATGTGTTTAACTCATTGACTGTCAGCCGTTTTTGATGATTTCACTGATTCTCAAGACCCACAGAATATTATTTTTTAAGACAATGTGAAATATGAAACCAGATTCCTAAAGACTGGATTGTCTACTTTTATCAGCAAAAATAAGTTTGTTTCTAGCTGTTTTTATTGTCCTGTAATTCCCAGTCGAATATAGGATCTCAGACAAGTATGTCAATGGCAGACTATGAGGTAATGGGATAACCACTGTCCAGAAATGTAAATAAATGTCCTTAAATGTCCCAGGAAAATCCCTGGACCTTGCACTGTCAAACCCCAAACTACTTCTGTATATCTGGTTCATTCCTCTCTCACGCTTGAAACATCTGAGATAAACCCATGGGTAGTCCCTGTGTGGCGGGTTAATCTGCAGTATCTCGTGCTGTTGGAGACTCGTATAGAAAGGTGCCGGTGCTCGTGGTTTACTTACTGACCAGAGTGGATCGTTTAATGGCAGCTTAAATCACATCGATGGGCGAACGTTAGCCCATGTCTCGCTCCAGGCTGCACGCTGGTCCTAACGCTGCAGCGGTTAATAGCCTCACACTCTCTCTGACACTGAAGCTGTTGCCGAGAGAGAAGCCTGTGTCTGCGAGGATGAAATACAACAGTTTAGTCAATGGGTTCAGCAACACTTCCCCTTTAAGTCGTTTTCATTATTATTTTAGCTTGAGTGAATTCAAAGAAATTCCCATCAAATACAAGGATTCCTAATAAACCACTGTCAGGTAGAGGCCGAAAATGGTAAGAGAAGTTTCTTTGTGAAATATAGTTCATACACAAGGCAACTCAAAGTGATTAACAAAACAAGAAAATCATTAATAATTTTTAGCTATGGAAATCTGAAAGTCTGCTGTCCCATGTTTAATCCTGACTCTGGGACCAGCAGGAGGCCAGTCCCCGTGCTCCTCAGAGTCCCAGCAGGAGGCCAGTCCCCGTGCTCCTCCGAGTCCCAGCAGGAGGCCAGTCCCCGTGCTCCTCCGAGTCCCAGCAGGAGGCCAGTCCCCGTGCTCCTCCGAGTCCCAGCAGGAGGCCAGTCCCTGTGCTCCTCAGAGTCCCAGCAGGAGGCCAGTCCCTGTGCTCCTCAGAGTCCCAGCAGGAGGCCAGTCCCTGTGCTCCTCAGAGTCCCAGCAGGAGGCCAGTCCCTGTGCTCCTCAGAGTCCCAGCAGGAGGCCAGTCCCTGTGCTCCTCAGAGTCCCAGCAGGAGGCCAGTCCCCGTGCTCCTCCGTGTCCCAGCAGGAGGCCAGTCCCCGTGCGCCTCCGAGTCCCAGCGGGAGGCCAGTCCCTGTGCTCCTCAGAGTCCCAGCAGGAGGCCAGTCCCTGTGCTCCTCAGAGTCCCAGCAGGAGGCCAGTCCCCGTGCTCCTCAGAGTCCCAGCAGGAGGCCAGTCCCCGTGCTCCTCCGAGTCCCAGCAGGAGGCCAGTCCCTGTGCTCCTCAGAGTCTGAGTTAGTTCATATGGCACTAACATGTCATAGCAGTGCAATCTGTAATATACTGTCGATGACGTCATAATTATGTCATTATGCTTTTACACAATTCCCCATAATATTAGTCACACTTCCAGCCCTGCGTCTGACCTGCTCTCACTCTGACCTCACTCCAGCTGCACCACTCATTGTTTTGAGAGATCACTCCCTCTGTGACCCAGGCCCCGTTTTGCATCTTGCGGGTGATTCTGGTGCTCAGCTCCGCTCGGCGCACACCTCTGGGACCCTGCATTATGGATGAGCCACTTGACTCTGCAGTTGTCAACGTCTGGATCAAGCCGACTGCGGCGCACTTTCATATTCTCTGTGACATCAGCCCACACAAGTTCCACCTCAGTCTCTGACAGATGCAGGCTTTATCTTAGCTGTGTAATAGCTTTGTGCAGAGGTGGCACCACGAGCGAGACTTTAAGATCGATCTATTATAATGACTGGATTTGTTAAACTTTCTAAAGTGTCAGTGAATCTCAGTTACTTTTCATTGCTTTGAGCCAGAAATAGACGGAGTGGTTGAAAATTAACTTTTTGAGCTATGTAGAGAAAGATTTGTTTGCTAGACCCGCCCTTTCTCACCCCCACTGCTTCCTGATTGGACAAAACGCATTTAAATCCTGGATACACAGATGAGGCCGCTTGCAATTGGTCTAACAAAGTTTTACTAATGGTGGTTTTGCCAAGGACAGGGGCTATATGCTCAACAAAGTAAGTTACATACCCCAGCTTTAGTGACCTTCCGTTCAGAGGGCTTTACTCACAAAACACGACCACTACATACGATTTGATTTTGTGAATTTGAAGTGAATTTTGAGCCTAGAAGCAACTTTTTCAGTCTATTCCAATCATCAGCCAAATGATCGCAATTGTACTAAAGCGCTTTTCAGGACACTCAAAGATGCTTTACAGAAGAACAAATCAGATCAAATATAAAATACAAGTAGTAATATTTATATAAGTATACCCCAAACATGCCGCTTCTATCTTGATTTTATGGTTTGCCATGGTTGCACAGAAATGAAACGGCAGAGTTTAATTGCCTGCTTGATCACGAACTCTCCATGTTTTTGTGCCGTCCGTTGGGATCTGTGGTTCTGGGGCGTGGTGTGTTTGACTTGGACAACCACATCAGCCTCTGCTCTCTTTCCGCCTGACCTTGCCAAGTCTTATCAACTGTTTGTTCTCAGTAAATAGTCTTTTTTTTCGACCCACTTTTCCTTTTGACTTGTGCTGTTTGGACATGGCCTTCTCACGTGCACTCTCCCTGTCTCTCTCTCTCTTTTCTCTTGTGTTTTCTCCTCTTCGCCCACACTAAGTGGCTAAAAGCTAAGGTAAGTCCGTTGTCACATGACCCCTTTTTTCTAGTATGTATAATTGATAGAGCTCCTTTTCCCATACAAACCCCACAAACATGTCATCCCCCCCTCCCCTCCTTCCTCCATTAACGCTAGTCCATGTAGTCCAAGAAACCGCACTCCCATCCCATGTCGTCCCAGTAGGAAGTAATGTACATTGTGTAGTTGTCCATTCTGTTCCTGTGGTTGTAGACAAATTAGGCTTCAAGCATTTCTGATTGTGATAATATTCTATAAGCAACAATGCACCCATTCAAAGTCACTAACACTGCATTGATAAATATTCCGTCTTAATCAGACCTGGTTAAGTTAATCAGAACTTCATACTGTCTCCGCCTTTTTAAATGAGTGCTACAATGGCATGTTATACATCATCAAAAAACCTCTGTTCATAATTCTTTAGCTTTAGTTCATTTTTGGTTCAATTCAAGTAAGAACATTTAAAAAATATATATAATCCAAGAATCCTCAAAGTACCTCCCATATTGGAAAAAGTTATCAGAAATACAGCCGAAGATGCAAAATATCAGCTCCACACTTAACATTGGATGACATTGGATATGAAAATCAGACATGTTACATTTTTAACTGAAGTAACTTACCCTCATATCTTGTTCCAATTCGAATTAAATAGTAATCGAAAATAAAATTGAGTCTGGCCCTCCACAATCTACCGATATCCCAATGTGGCCCCTGGGGTTGATACTTGCCCTTGTTCTAAACCTACAGAAATGCAGTTGCAGCCTTTGTTGTTTACCTTAAACGACTGACTTTGCAGACTTCCCAGATGGTTCTTTATATGCTTCAGTTTTCATGTTTGGGTTGGCATCGCTCCATGGAGATGTTATGGGCTTGCCTAGAATCCGACATCTCACATTTATTCAGTTACAACAACATTCTTGTAGTGACAGACACACGCCACACAAATATAATGTCTTTGCTATGTCCAATTCTAAAGCATCCCAGACCTACTGCCATTACCTACCATGTCCTTGTCTCCATGGAGATAGGAGGCCAAAGTAACACTCAAAAACATTGCCTAAATCACAATTATAACCCCCCACATGATTTCTGTTTCCAAATCTGGGAAGTCTCGTCAGCACGTTTGACTTTAGGTTTTAAAAGGTTCATCATTTTGGATCTGCTTCCTTCCCTCTTATTCACAGCAACACGGAAACAACCAGGCGATCCGAGCCGGGACCCTGTCGAGGACCAACCCGCCCACGCAGAAGCCTCCCAGTCCCCCCATGTCAGGGCGCGGCGGGACGTTGGGGTAAGCTCTCCTGCTCTCGGTCTCCTGTTCGGTCTCCACGATCGCCACGCTTTTCCTGTCATTATCAAACTGGTTCTGGTGTGTGGGCGATGGAGGAGCAGCATGGGCTGACTCACAGTCTGTGGAATACCCTTGAGACTGCACCTATGTAATATCCAGATTATTTACATTATGTTTGTGAAGGAAACTGGAAAATGCAGAAAGACATGGCATGGAAGTTGATTTGCTTTGTGGCTTCATCTTTTGAAACTCTTCGACTTGTTGTGATTTAGGGCTGAGCAAAAAGAAATGACTTTTCTTATGTTGTGTGCTCCATACAGACGCAACACGTCGTACAAGACCCTAGAACCAGTGAAACCTCCCACGGTGCCCAACGACTACATGACGAGTCCTGGACGCCTGGGCAGCCAGCACGGGCAGAACAGCCCCGGACGCACGGCCTCGCTCAACCAGAGAGCACGCACACACAGGTACACACACCAACACACACACCAACACACACACACACACACAGTAACAAAAAATCACTGGGTAAAAATGGCCCTTTCTGTGCCATCTTCCCTTCTGACCACCACCAACCACTCACACACACACATACCAGACTCATTCTAGGCAACGTGGGTGAAGTGTGTTGCCTAAGAATACAACGACAATTTGGCTCTTTACAGCCGGTGTTTCCAGAGGTCTCCCATCACAGTACTAACCATGCCCTGACATTAGGGCTGAAACAACTAATCGATTATTAAAATAGTCGACAACTATTTTAGTAATCGATTAATCGTTTTCTGGTTCACACGGACTCAAACAGAGCAAAAATGACATGAAAATGTAGTATTTTTGATTAAAACCGACTTTGTTTTTATAATTTCATGAATATCTGTCTGTCTCATCCAATCAGATAGCAGAATTAGCTCAAAGAGCCTGTTACAAACATTTACTTTAAGTTTACGCCATCAATACGTCCTCGAGTGTTGCCACTTTAGCTTTTTGTGATGAAAAAATTAAATTTTTCTACACAATTCACAGCCAAGCGATTACTCGATTAATCGTAAAAATAATCGATAGATTAATCGATTACAAAATAATCGTTAGTTGCAGCTCTACCTGACATGCTTCGCTTCAAAGGTCTGACAGGATTTGGCCTTCACTTGGAGATGGCACCAAAGTTTTCGAAGCCGTATCAGAATTAGTATGAAAAACCCCTAGACTCTGATATCATTTATACGCATTTTGAATAGAATTATTAATAAAAAACCACACCTAAACCAGACAGATCCACAGCTCATGCATTTTGTGGCATTCTATTCTCCTGTGGATGCAGACTTCACCTTCTCACTGAGCCTGACTAATGCTGGGAAATGTTCTGCTACACCTTGAAACTCAACCCTCATCCGTAACACTAGAAATTGCCTCCTCAGACCCATTAGTCACTGGATTAATCCGTAGCCCGAGTTTCAGCAGTTTTTAGCATTACCATCCACCGACTTCACAAAAGCCTGCGTTTGTTGTTCACTGACAACTTTTCGTGTGTGTGTGTGTGTGTGTGTGTGTGTGTGTGTGTGTGTGTGTGTGTGTGTGTGTGTGTGTGTGTGTGTGTGTGTGTGTGTGTGTGTGTGTGTGTGTGTGTGTGTGTGTGTGTGTGTGTGTGTGTGTGTGTGTGTGTGTGTGTGTGTGTGTGTGTGTGTCGTCAGTCGTCTCATTAGCTAAAAGCCTGTTATGCTGACTGGCAAAACACACAGAAATGTATTGTAATTATTGACTCTCCAGAGCAGGTAAATGGTGGGACTCTCTGGGAACTTTTTAGAGGCAAACATGTCAAATTAAAGCTAGGGTACCTACGTTTTACTTGCATAGAAAACCTGTACTGTTTGTGTCCACAGAAAGTCTACTAAAAGTCTTAAAAACAATGTATTTCTCTCGTTTTCGTCCGAACAAGAGCCCTGCGAGTCTCTCTTTCCACATAAAAACAAGTGTAATTTCATGTCTTTTCTGCTCTCTCTGCTTTCCCTTCCTGCTCTCCAAGGGGACGCACTGAGTAAATGAAATTATATACATTGACTGCATCGCTTTATAGGCCACAGAGCTAAAAGAACTTGAGAAAAAGTTGCAGCTCATTCTCCAGCAGCACTGCATACAGTCAGAATGACATTTTCAGGGCTATCTTTATTTCTGTAATTGATAAGTTGCAGTGTTTTGATGTATCCAGTCTCATCCCTACAACGTGTTAATGTTCATAAAGTACAAATCTTATCTGGCAACGCGGTCTCTAGCCAGACCCACGTCCCTGCAGCCTCGTGACCACTGTCCGCTCTGCTGCGATGGTGCTATCTGATTATCCCGACTCTCAGACCGCGCTCCTTGTGCTTATTCAGCTCATCGGCCTCTGCCATCTCCAGCTCAGGTTTAAATTCAATACCAGCGTCTGCCTGGGCCTTTAATCTTCTTTTTAAAGGCAGAATTGTAAGCGCCGGGGCCTGACAATAACAAGGACAGTGGTGGTGTTCGTATATATACACAGGAAGTGCATTGAGGGCATAACTTAAGTACAACAAAAGTGTAATGTTTTGTCATTCTGAACTTGGAGCAAAGGCCTCACATGGGAAAGAGCCACCGACGCAACAGTCAATCATGAATCCGAAAACAAGATAAGTTGGAATGCCATGTGTCAACTCTATAGCAGCAATCCTTCAGTTCAAGAGACAAAAGTCAAGGTAACTCTGTGTGCTTTGAATGTTAAGTTTACAGCCAACTTTTCACATCATTTTTCACGTTTTAAATGTATTTTACTTAAACAAGGAGGGATTTTGATGATAAAACTATTAAAAAACATAATTGTGTGTCTAAAATTCCAATACCAGGTTATTATAATGTTGACGTGGCACCAGTGTCTGATCTGGCAAAGATTAAAAAATAAAATATGTATCTAGCGACTTTAGTGCAGAGGAAGAAGATTGTTATCTATTTAAAAATATATATAGAAATACGCAGTTTGAAAAGTGGTTGGACGAACTTTTATTTGGACCCAACCTTTCTTACTCATTCAACACAACACACACACAATGTATATTAATATGTCTGTGTATATACATTGCTGTTTTGTTTTTGTTTAAATCTTAGGACAGTAGATACATTGTCTTATTTTACAGTGGATAAGATATAACTGAGACTGATAAAATCTGCAGTTATCTAGTTATCGGCGTGACTGTCCTGTATCCAATGGCCTTCGCCGCGTCCCGGAGTCACAGCTACACGGGTTTGTGAAGGAATGAGTAGGTTAGCAAGGGATTAATACAGATCAACGCGAAAGAGGAGGAAAGAGGGGGGAGTAGTAGTTAGAAATACCACACACACACACACACACACACACACACACACACACACACACACACACACACACACACACACACACACACACACACACACACACACACACACACACACACACAATAGCATTTACGGACATGGCATTCTCTGTGTTTGATTCTCTAATCTGTGTTGGCAAATCGACAGCTTTGTAAAGTCCTCCGAGATAACTTCTGTTGTGATTTAGGGCTATACTATCTGCTTCTTTATTATGCTAAAGTTAGAGATTTTATTGTATTTTTGTATAGAGTTATTTTTCATTTATCTTGTGCTGCAGGTGCTCCTCGTTCCTACTGAAAAAAGATTCATTTGTCTTAAAAAATGAAATGGATTGAATTTGATATATATTAAAAAAAACGTATTTACATTCTCACTTACTGCAGATACGGCCTCATTCATACCAACACGCAGCCTCAGGGCCTCCATTCTGACGGGGGGAGCGGGGTCAAAAAGCAGAGCTGAGGGGGGTAGGGTCGGGTCAATTGTGCAACGGATCAAAGCGACGGAGAAAGCGCAGGTGAACGACGGGTGAGACGCCAGATCAAGGCAAAGAAAGGATTTAGCCGTCGCAGGAATCGACCCACAATCCCCTGGGGTCACACCGGGAGAAGAGGGGGAGCTGGCATACATGGACTGCTAACATGGCCTACATTCGAAAGGCCACTACTACCATATTGATAGTGTTTTCTACAATGGGATTGGCTTTGAATGGAGGGAGGGGGCAGGGCAACTGGGGGGTAGAATGATAATAATGCTGTGTTTTGTTATTCTATAGAGAAAGACGCCAAAGGTTAGCCTCAATGTATTCTTGTATAGCCCCAAATCACAACAGTGGCCATAGAATCAAACAGTTTAAACACGTTTGCAATGATGAAATGCAATGATAAAAAACACATTGGTCATTGATCCATAAAGGGCGGATGACCAATGTCCATAAATGTTGATTAATGCCCATAAATGTCGCTGTTTTGCAGACAAAGAACTAGAATCCAACTTGACAGGCTGGTCGTGATAGCTGTCTTTAATGCGTGATTGATTGCTGCAGAGAAATCATGAGCTAGACAATAACATTGATGGTACTTCCTGTCGCAAACACAATTACAATGCAGTCCCAGTACGCCATTTAGAAGTGTCCTGAGTGGCAAACAAAGCAGTGATTGGCTATAAAAACAACATATTCAAACACTTAGCTCAAATTTGCAATGAATATATGTGGAAAAAATCCCCATTGTTGCAAATCTATTGAAGTATCGAGCCCTTATTGAACCAACCAGCAATCAATGAGCGACAAATCAACGTGGTGATTATTATCTACAAGTAATTGACGCCTTTTATGAAATAACTCAATCAATATTACATCTAAATGAAATGTAGGCACAAGGGGTTTTTCAGAAATGTTGCGTCAGGTGGAGCCTTGAAGCTGTAGAAGAGATAGAGGGCTTCTAAACGCGATAACAGAAAGAAATCCAATAAAAGAGGTGAAAAATGTAAGGAAAGGTTTATGAGATCTTCCAAATTCAAACAAATTCACACTATTTCTCTATTTTCTCTACTGCTTTTTCCTCCTGTTTTTATGTTTTAATTCCTCATTATTTTGAATCCGGTCGTCAACATCATTTGGCGTTTGTTTTTGATTGTGTCACAAATTGCATACATGGCATTAATGTAGCTCCAGTGTGAATATATGTGATATCTGGAAATATCATACCCCAATTTTAACATATAACACCCCAAACACAACCTGAATCCAGGCAAAACAGTTTTCGAATCCCTGCTGTCGGACCATGAATAAGTCTGGTTAGCTAAAGTGGCCCATACTAGCCTTAACCTTAATGAAAAGTTTGGAGCTAGCAGATTTCTTTCAACAAATAATTATATTGACTATTTTTGTGCGTAAAGAGTCCCTGCATTTATCTGACCCAAAGTCCGGTCCCTGGGAGTTGAAATCCCCTGGTCTAAGGAAGTACACACGGATCAATGTTTAATAAAAGTCTTCCTCCTTGTGTGTCTGCTCTCCTCAGTGGCAGCAGTGGGGGCAGCAGCAGCAGAGAGAACAGCGGTAGTGGGATTGGAATTCCCATCGCCGTGCCAACGCCCTCCATCCCCAACGCGGGACCAGGTAAACTTGGTTATTCTGTCCAGGGTTGCTGCACACATGTCTCTGGTGATCGTGTTTCATTAAAGGGAATGTCAATTTTGATTGGAGAGAGAGAAACTTTTTTTTCGAAGACGAGCACTGGTTAGACACGCCCATGCTCACCCCTGTAGCTTCCTGATTGGTCGAAAATAATTCAATACATTTGGTTTAATAGTCTTACCGGTCAAAGTTCTACCAAGAGGAGGGAGTAGAGTAGAGTAGAGTAGAGTAGAGTAGAGTAGAGTAGAGTAGAGTAGAGTAGAGTAGAGTAGAGTAGAGTAGAGTAGAGTAGAGTAGAGTAGAGTAGAGTAGAGTAGAGTAGAGTAGAGTAGAGTAGAGTAGAGTAGAGTAGAGTAGAGTAGAGTAGAGTAGAGTAGAGTAGGTGGAAACAGGGCTATACTTTTGCCTTGCGTAGAGTAGAGTAGAGTAGAGTAGGTGGAAACAGGGCTATACTTTTGCCTTGCGTAGAGTAGAGTAGAGTAGAGTAGGTGGAAACAGGGCTATACTTTTGCCTTGCGTAGAGTAGAGTAGAGTAGAGTAGGTGGAAACAGGGCTATACTTTTGCCTTGCGTAGAGTAGAGTAGAGTAGAGTAGGTGGAAACAGGGCTATACTTTTGCCTTGCGTAGAGTAGAGTAGAGTAGAGTAGGTGGAAACAGGGCTATACTTTTGCCTTGCGTAGAGTAGAGTAGAGTAGAGTAGGTGAAACAGGGCTATACTTTTGCCTTGCGTAGAGTAGAGTAGGGTATTGTAGAGTAGAGTAGAGTATGGTAGGGTAGGGTTGGTGGAAACGGGGCAATACTCTCCACTCTTGGTGCATTGCATATATAAATAAATATACAGGGATTTCTTACAGTGTGTACTCTTCACTTGTTGCCAAATAGAATATTAAAAAGCTAGAATGATGAAACACTATATTAAGAGCTCGTCTAGCACCACTTACTGAAAACCAATTGAATTACCCCACAGCAGAGAAGCCACAGCGACACATGTGTAAATTGCTCTCTCCTGGTTGTCAAAGCTTATGTTTACCAGACAGAGGGATTATTCTGCTCCATTGTGTTGTGAGCTCAGCTGATTCTCGTCCTACTGTGTAAATAGGCCAAGCCGCGGCAGGCCTGCAGCTCCGTGAGCCTCTACAGTAGACCCACATTCTGAGACTCCCCGCTCAGAATCGCAAAAAAAACAGCTTTAAATTTTGGATGAGATTTCGGGAGGTTTTGCACATAAAAGCAGAAATGTTTCTTCAAAGTCAATCCAGAGTTGTTTTATCCTGTCGTTCTGGAAACAGTGTTTATCTGTTTGTTTTGTGTAATATTTTCATGTTAAATGACATCTACATCTTTTATATGTGTCCAGGTCTCTGGTCACATGTACACATCATAATTGACCTTTTCTGAACAAAAGTACAAAGTTTAAGGAAGGGAAGAAACCAGTTTGGGCCTTTTAGAGCAGAATGTTCCCAGAGGTATCCCATCAATGTACTAACTAGGCCCTGTCCTGCTTAGCTTCAGAGGACAGGGCCTGACGGGATCTGGCTTTCATCTGCAGGTGGCGCCACATGACATATTTTGATGTCCTCAATATCTATTTTTTTTCCTAATCAGATTATCCAATCAGAGAGCAGACTGAGGCTCTCGTTTAACATGTTGCAAATGTTTGTGAAAAACATTCACAAAGAAAAAGTTGCATCGCACACACTCCAGCAGGTGGATTGCATCAGTAATCCATGTCACTGACAGAATGATTGTTTCAACAAAAGTGTGATTGTAATGACTTTATTTGACCACTAAGAGCGCTGTGACGAGTCTGTACACGTCTTGTTTAAATGTAATGACACTTGTTCCAGTGAGCCTCATGCCAGGGCCCCCAGGAGCTCCCCCTCCCCCTCCGCCTCTGCCTGGATCAGCTCCTCCAATGGCACCACCACCACCACCTCCTCCCCCTCTCGCAGCCGGAGGTGAGAGTGGCTCCTGCTGGACCTGGTGCTGACCAGTGGTGGTGGAGCTCGTAATCGTGGTGTAACTCGGTGAAGGGGTTCTTACGTCCACACTGCAGACTCACACAAAACTTTTTAATCACAGCTTAAAGTGGCAAGCAAAAATGCATGAAGTCACTATCGCCCTGTTTCCACCAACCCTACATGTCTCTACTCTACCCAACCCTGATGGGGCGCACTTCCACCGGCCATGTTCAACTGGCACCAAGTACTTTTGTAGTACCTGCATGGCCCTGTTCCAACCGATCTGGAAGCCAATGTTTTGCCAAGGAATGTTCATACTGGTTTTCTGCGGGTAAACCATGTGTCCATCTATTCTAACAATACAAGACAACAGCTGTAAATTAGCACTCCTGCTACAACCTGGTACAATGCATCTCTCATTTTGGCTATTTTTCATTACACACTGTCCCTGTAGAAATGAATAATTCAGAAAAATAAAAATTAAGTATCTGGTCATGGAGTACAGTGGAGTAGGGACAAGTAGGGCTGGTGGAAACGGGGTCATATACACTTGAGCTTGCACTGTGGACATAACTTCAGATTTTCAGAATATAAAAAATAATCTTTCGGCCATCTTTAATGGTGATGGTGGTTCTCTACTCTTCATCGGACCAATGTGCATGTCGTCTCTGTCATAATCTGCAGGTTTTTCCTTTTTAAAAACTGACTGTCATTGCTCAATTCAACGTATTTATGTGACATTTGTGTTACTTCTGTGATGTTTTTTTTTGTGCAAATCTGGGTTTCAACCATTCACATGCGTCAAAGAGCGCTCAAGATTCAAGCAGGAAATACTCCACACATACTGTAGATCACGGTGGTGTTGTGCAGACAGAAAAGGCTGCTTCACTTCTCTCTCTCTCTCCTCCTGTTCTGCTGAATCACGTGCCCAGGTTTCATCTGTGGATCACTCTGGGGGCAATTAATGTTAAATTAAATCTCTCTCGTTATTGGATTAATGATCGCTCTGCTCTTCCGAACCTGCAAGAGTGGGACTCAAATCTCACATGTTTAATAGAAAGCATTGTCCAAGAGTATAAAAGCATAGTTTTTAGTCCTGACTCTGGGACCAGCAGGAGGCCAGTCCCTGTGCCAGTCCCAGCAGGAGCCAAAAGAAATCCAGATTCTGAAATGAAAACGAGGAAAGAGATCTGCTTTTTGATCCTAATCATTTAAAGGTTGATAGTTTGGGTGCTCATCGTGCTTGCTAACCTTTTCATGTCTTTCTTCCTCCTCTCTCTGTTTCTGTCTCTCTCTGTGTCTCTCTCGCTCTGTCTCTTTTTCTCTCTGTGTGTCTCTGTCTCTCTCTCTCTCTCTGTGTCTCTGTCTCTCTCTTTCTCTCTCTGTCTCCCTCTTTCTGTCTTTCTCTCTGTGTCTCGGTCTCCCTCTGTCTCTCTCTGTCACTCTCTCTGTATCTCTCTCTCTCTGTCTCTGTGCCTCTGTCTTTCTCCCTCTGTCTCTCTCTCTGTTTCTTTGTGTCTCTCTCTCTCTCCGTCTGTCTCCCTCTGTCTCAATCTCTGTCTCTCTCTCCCTCTCTCCCTCTGTCTCTCTCTGTCTCTCCCCGTCTGTCTCCCTCTGTCTCAATCTCTGTCTCTCTCTCTCTGTTTCTCTGTCTCTGTCTCTCTGTCTCTCTCTTCTTCTCTTCTCTTCTCTTCTCTCCTCTCCTCTCCTCTCCTCTCCTCTCCTCTCCTCTCCTCTCCTCTCTCTGTCCTCTTCTGCAGCTGTGGTTCCAGGGCCTGGTCTCGGCCCCGCCCCCATGTCCCAGTTCGGAACCATGTCGCGGCAGATCTCGCGCCACAACCCCGCCAACTCGTCCGTCTCCATGGTTTCGGCCACGGGAACGTACCGGCGTGCGCCCTCGGTCACCTCGCAGTTCTCCTTACAGCAGCAGATGCAGCAGCAGCAGCCTCACATCAACGGGGGCACTCCTGGTTACGGCCAGAACTCAAGTAAGGAGTCCAGCGAAGGCTGTGCTGGTTAAAGCTGGGGTACCTAACTTTGGTATCATTAAGAAGACAGGCAAAACTCTGAAAACAATACTGTACATTCAAAGAAAACAAAACAAATCAGATGTCATCATGTCAACTATGGTCTCTCTCTGGTCTCTCTCTTCGGTCTCTCTCTGGTCTTTCTTTGGTCTCTCTCTGGTCTCTCTCTGATCTCTCTTTGGTCTCTCTTTGGTCTCTCTCTGGACTTTCTTTGGTCTCGCTCTGGTCTTTCTTTGGTCTCTCTCTCCGGTCTCTCTCTCTGGTCTCTCTCTCTGGTCTCTGTCTTGTCTCTGTCTTGTCTCTCTCTGGTCTCCCTCTTTGGTATCTCTCTTTGGTATCTCTCTTTGGTCTCTCTCTCTGGTCTCTCTCTGGTCTCTCTCTCTGGTCTCTCTCTCTGGTCTCTCTCTCTGGTCTCTCTCTGGTCTCTGTCTTGTCTCTTTCTTGTCTCTCTCTGGTCTCCCTCTTTGGTTTTCTCTCTCTGGTCTCAGTAGCATTCTTATTACAGCAAAATGGGAATCATTTAGCGACAACATTGTCTCCTTATGTAACTGTACCTTTTAGTATAGTCTGCTAATTCAGCCATTTTCTATTTATTGTTAATTCTACTCAGACACAAGCTTTGCCACTCTGCCACACCACGCTTTTTACGTCTTTTTTATTTCCTGTCCGTCCGCTGCACCACCACCTTCTGTAACAATCCCGGCTCAGAAATCGCCCGATTGACAGAATTCGTGCGTAATCCTGCTTTATCCCGTGGCCTGGGTGATCCCTCCGCCGCAGTCACAGACCTCCAGTGACCTCACAACTGCCTCTTTGCAAAGCGCTCTCTTTCTGATCACGTATTTTGTCTCCTCCTGTGTGTGTCTCTTCTCCTTCTCTGTGGCGTGCAGTGCCCATGGCCCCCCCTCCGCCCCCCATGCCTCAGCTGACTCCACAGATCCCTCTGACCGGCTTTGTGGCCAGGATGCAGGAGAGCAGTAAGTGAAGTGGTCGCAAAGATTTTCCTCTCCAGCTTTTCCGCATGCTTTCTGTTCTTCCGTGAGTGACTTCCTCGGCTCCGTCCGACTGTCCATTCAAAGCATTATGAACTCGGACCATATGAACGCACGGCCGAGGGGTGTCTAACTCATCTCACATTACACATCAAGTCCCCATGTGTGACTATGAACTGTGCAATACAAACGGCGTGTTTAAGAGCGACCCTCTTAGACACGCCGTTTCCCATTCTATGTATTTGTATTGCACAGTTCATAGTCACACATGGCGACTTGATGTGCTCAACAAAACAAGAAAAGAAACGATAAATTCATACAAGACGTTAACATTAAATAATCACAGTACAATCCTTCAGTTGTTGCAACTAAACAGACTTGTTTTTTTGAATATTGTCAGCGTAGAAGCCTGTCTCACATTTTTAGTTCTGACTCTGGGCACCAGCAGGAGGCCAGTCCCTGTGCTCCTCAGAGTCCCAGCAGGAGGCCAGTCCCTGTGCTCCTCAGAGTCCCAGCAGGAGGCCAGACCCTGTGCTCCTCAGAGTCCCAGCAGGAGGCCAGTCCCTGTGCTCCTCAGAGTCCCAGCAGGAGGCCAGTCCCTGTGCTCCTCAGAGTCCCAGCAGGAGGCCGGTCCCTGTGCTCCTCAGAGTCCCAGCAGGAGGCCGGTCCCTGTGCTCCTCAGAGTCCCAGCAGGAGGCCGGTCCCTGTGCTCCTCAGAGTCCCAGCAGGAGGCCAGTCCCTGTGCTCCTCAGAGTCCCAGCAGGAGGCCAGTCCCTGTCCGACAAGGTTCATAAGGCACTAACATGTCAAAGATGTACTTGTACACAGCAAGCAGAGCTGCTGTAAAGTCTCTGAGCCACAGGAAGCAGAGACCTGAGAACTGGACTGATGTGATCGTATTTTGTGGTTCTTGTCAGGACTCAAGCTGCAGAATTTTGATTTTGTTTTACAGTAATGTAACATTAAGGTCATGTATGGAGAATTACACGGGTCTCCAACCTTTCCCCCGGAGAGACAAAAGTGAGCTACTCCTTTAGACAGTTGAAGCACAACATAGTAATAGTTTTTATCTTGATTTGAAAACATTCTGACGTTCTTAAAACAAACTTTTTACATGGAACATCCAGCTTTCGTCTGAATTCACAGTAGAGTAATTTTAGGACAGGTTCCATTGACAAAGACCGTCAAAATGTTATTGTTTAACCTAAAGTTAAGGAATGTCTAAGGTTATGTATTGGATTTGCTGTGCTGCCCTCTGCTGGCGACAAAGCCTTACTGCTGTTTAATCCATCCCTTGTAAGATATAGACCATCAGAAAGTGCCTGCGTTATTGTAACCATTCCTGTAATCAGCTGGTAAACAGTCTCGCGTCCCCCGATACCAGTCTCGTCACAGATTTGAGGTGGAACATCCGTCAACATAACGAGTTTGTATCGGTAATCCTGGTATGCAGAGTAAATAATAACCATTTCTGTCTGTCACAACCTCACTAACTCACAACCCACTCAATACTCACAAAACGCATGTGGTGTGAAATGTAAGAGTAAAAATGCTAACCCATTCTGTATTTTAATTTAACTCACTCACTGTAGTGTCTGACTGTTATCAAGCATGACGGCGCAAAAAGGATTATCTCTCCATCCAGTTGGAAATGTCCTGCTGAGTCCTGGAGAAAGACTTGATTTGAGGAGATTTGGAGGTTTTGTAACAGTTGTGAAGTGTTGGATTGGATGACTTTATCTGCATTTAAGTTGTTACTCCACCATAGGCTGCGTTCATGTGACATCACAAGGTGGAGGGCAGCTGAAAAGTTTATTTATTTATTTATTACAGGGACAGTGCATATTAATGAGCATTTCTGTAAATATGCCAGAATTATTATCCTAGCAGCTAATTTTCGTGTCTCCATAGTCTTGGTAACTATGGTAACGCCAGACTTATAGTTAATTTTTCTGTAATCCCTGGGCCTATCCACACGAAACAAAAACGTTTATCAACACATGTCAAGTATGTTCTCTCCCTGGTCTCTCTTGGGTCTCTCTCGAGTCTCTCTCGGGTCTCTCTCGGGTCTCTCTCGGGTCTCTCTCGGGTCTCTCTCGGGTCTCTCTCGGGTCTCTCTCTGGTCTCTCTCTGGTCTCTCTCTGGTCTCTCTCGGGTCTCTCTCGGGTCTCTCTCGGGTCTCTTTCTCTGGTCTCTCTGGTCTTTCTCCCTGGTCTCTCTCTGGTCTCTCTCTGGTCTCTCTCTGGTCTCTCTTTGGTCTCTCTCTGGTCTCTCTCTGGTCTCTCTCTGGTCTCTCTCGGGTCTCTCTCGGGTCTCTCTCGGGTCTCTTTCTCTGGTCTCTCTGGTCTTTCTCCCTGGTCTCTCTCTGGTCTCTCTCTGGTCTCTCTCTGGTTTCTCTCTGGTCTCTCTCTGGTCTCTTTCTCTGGTCTTTCTCTCTGGTTTCTCTCTGGTCTCTCTCTGGTCTCTCTCTGGTCTCTCTCTGGTCTCTCTCTCGTGTCTCTAGCATGGGAGATTTAGCAAATTTTCTTAAAAAAAAAAAATTATTTCCCGTTGACTTGTACCAGCCCCTGCCTCAAACTGAAATAGAAATCTACAACATGAACGCAACCTATGGTCTCTTCAAACTCCTCAAATCAAGCATTTCCTGGATTCGAGTCATTCCGCTGGAGTTTTTGTGGCAGATTTTGTAACACTTGTCTTTTAGTTGCAGATGCCCCGACCCCGCCCCCTCCGCCGCCCCCTGACGACATGCCCATGTTCGACGAGTCTCCTCCCCCTCCCCCACCTCCCCCGGTGGACTACGAGGAGGAGGACGCCGCCGTGGTGCACTACAGCGACCCCTACGCCGACGGGGATCCACAATGGGCACCGACCAACTACGTGGAGAAAGGTCTGAGGACATTAGTCACACAGGGTTAGCCTAGAGCACATGTGTCAAAGTCAAGGCCCGCGGGCCAAATCCGGCCCGCGAATGAATTATCTATGGCCCCCGGGACATTGCCTGCCATTGAGGTAATGTATTGACCCCTTAAGCTCGCTAGCCCCCGCCGGCGGGAGCAAACGAGGAAGAAAATACATCTGCTGGCAATAGCAGATGTATTTTGAACTTCATAAGCCACAAGCTATTTATCATTTTAAAGATTATTTTCTCAGCTATATTTATATGTAAGTGTAAACGATATCAGACTTTGCATTAAAAAGATATAACGCATAATATGGGCACAAAATAAATCAGTCTGTATTTGTTTTTTACCTTTCGTCTTCTGCTGCTCCAACAAATTAGACTTTCCCCATCCTTGCTTAGTCGCTTTCTCTCCGTAACTGTTCATTGAAGAAGAATATCCACTTGTATTTCCCAAAGTATAATCCATTCTGCAGATTTAATCAAAAAACGCCCCAAAAAGAGGTCCAGACTGCTCTTTTACATTTCACCAAGTTTGAGCTTTTTTTTTTTTTACTATTTTCATGTTTTCAGATGTCTATTACATCTAATATGTACAGTATGAGGATTGGCTTTGGAGCATATTTTATCGAGCCAACAGGTGTCACCGGCACTGCCTCTGGATGTTGAGAAACATTGAACCAGTCCGGCCCTCGGCGCGTAGCAAACATTTTTTTTTGGCCCTCTGATGTATTTGACTTTGACATGCCTGGCCTAGAGGGACTGTAACAGGAGCCAAGAGTCTATCAAGCGTTTGGCCAACTATGGAATCTCTCTCTGGTCTCTCTCTGGTCTCTCTCTCTGGTCTCTCTCTGGTCTCTCTCTCTGGTCTCTCTCTGGTCTCTCTCTGGTCTCTCTCTGGTCTCTCTCTGGTCTCTCTCTGGTCTCTCTCTGGTCTCTCTCTGGTCTCTCTCTCTGGTCTCTCTCTCTGGTCTCGCTCTCTGGTTTCTCTCTTTGGTCTCTCTCTCTGGTCTCTCTCTCTGGAATCTCTCTCTGGTCTCTCTCTCTGGTCTCGCTCTCTGGTTTCTCTCTTTGGTCTCTCTCTGACCTCTTCCTCTGGTCTCGCTCTCTGGCTGCTCCCTCTCTTGTCTCATATACTGGTCTCTCTCTCTCTGGTCTCTCTCTGGTCTCTGTCTGGCCTCTCTCTGGTCTCTCTCTCTCTTGTCTCATATACTGGTCTCTCTCTCTCTGGTATCCCTCGCTGGTATTTTTCTCTGGTTTCTCTCTGGTCTCCTTCCGGTCTTTCTCTGTTCTCTCTCTCTGTTCTCTCTCTCTGTTCTCCATCTGGTATTTATCTGATCTCTGGTCTCTCTCTGGTCTCTCTCTGGTCTCTCTCTGGTCTCTCTCTCTGGTCTCTCTCTGGTCTCTCTCTGGTCTCTCTCTGGTCTCTCTCTGGTCTCTCTCTCTGGTCTCTCTCTCTGGTCTCTCTCTGGTCTCTCTCTGGTCTCTCTCTGGTCTCTCTCTCTGGTCTCTCTCTCTGGTCTCTCTCTGGTCTCTCTCTGGTCTCTCTCTCTGGTCTCTCTCTCTGGTCTCTCTCTGGTCTCTCTCTGGTCTCTCTCTCTGGTCTCTCTCTCTGGTCTCTCTCTCTGGTCTCTCTCTCTGGTCTCCTCTCTGGTTTCTCTCTGGTCTCTCTCTCGGAACTCTTTCTTCTGGTCTCGCTCTCTGGCCGCTCCCTCTCTTGTCTCTACTGGTCTCTCTCTCTCTGGTCTCTCTCTGGTCTCTCTCTCGCAACTCTTTCTTCGGTCTCTTTCTGGTCTCGCTCTCTGGCCGCTCCCTCTCTTGTCTCTACTGGTCTCTCTCTCTCTGGTATCCCTCGCTGGTATTTTTCTCTGGTTTCTCTCTGGTCTCCTTCCGGTCTTTCTCTGGTCTCTCCGGTCTGAGTCTGATCTCTTTCTAATCTCGTACACAGACAAAGCCAAAAACAAAGTTACAGGCCGGGAGCATTACGTCACTATACTTTTTAAGTCTCATTTTCTTATCGAACGACTAAAAAACGTAAACAATCTTTTCTCTTCCTGGCTTTCTTTCCCAGTGGTGGCCATATACGACTACTCTAAAGACAAGGACGACGAGCTGAGCTTCATGGAGGGCGCCATCATTTACGTGGTGAAGAAGAACGACGACGGCTGGTACGAAGGCGTGAGCGGCGGCGTCACCGGCCTCTTCCCCGGAAACTACGTGGAGAGCATCATGCACTACGCAGACTGAAGAGGGACCAACAAACGCCAACAGAGGGGAATCTACCGGAGCCAAGAACCAACAGGACTTGAGCAGCAGGAATTAGGAATTTTTGAGTTATTTCACAAAGAAGTATTTGGTAACCCTTTTAGAGTAGCCCCCCACTAATTTACAGCTAGCTAAGTGGTAATTAGTGTACCCTATTCCTGACGCTAACCCCAAAACGCTGATGCTAGCCCTTATGGTATTGCCGATGCTAATGCAAACCGTCGCGCGAACCCCGACGCTAACACTGACCCTATTGCCAACCCTAATGCTAGCCCTAATGTTATTGCCAATGCTAATGCCAACCCTGATGCTAACCCTATTGCCAACCCTAACCCTAATGCTATTGCCAATGCTAATGCTAACCGTAGCCCTTACCCTAATGCCAACCCTAACACTAACTCTAACGCTAATGCTAACGGTACCCCTTACCTACATGGGGCAGTGTCAGTTACTACTTAGACGTTGGATAAGGCCATGTACAATAAGGACTAATAAGTGCTTAATAAATACCAATTCATTATACACTATTTAGCAGTTAATTAGTGAGGGCTAACCTGCTAATTGTTACCAAGTATTTGACTCTGGAACACTGGGACTAAAGACTAAACCAGGAATGTCGGAAGCAGCCCCAGTTTTACATTTCCATCATTCATTTAAAACTTTTTTTGTTTTTATCCTGTCTTTGAGTCAAGAAAATCGCACTTAAAGCCAATTTTTTCTTTCCAAGCTTGAACATAACGTTTATTCTAATATCCAAGAACCTACTAATAATTGCTTTCGAGGTCTCGCTCCTGTAGATTTGTCTCGGCCACAGGCTAGCGCTAACTTAGCTTCTTTGGATATGACCGAATGTTTCTCTTTTTAAAGTTTATTTTGGTGTTCTACGGGCAAACGGGGGACGATTAAGTGTGGAATTATGTAAACAGACAAAGTTATTAAAGTATGGGACTCTTCTAATTATGAACAAAAGTATCGAACGGATCAAATAAACTTTCGATGTGTGTGGAAGTGGCACCAGGGGACGTTTGTGTAAATAACAGCTCCAGGTTACTTCAGTCAATGCAGTGAATGTCCAATATACAGTATCACAGTTTCTCCAGACAAGAGGCTATAAAGCTGGGGTACCTGACTTTTCAAACACACAACACAATCCATCCAGAGCCACCTTAACGGGCTCCTCTCTCGGACGTGGAGAAGCAGCGGCTCTACTCCGAGCTCCTCACTCCATGTCTTAAGTGAGCGCTCAGCCACTCTGAAGAACGACCTCGAACCACTTTACAACTGCAAAAAATGATCAAATATGAGATGATAATTGCTAGAATCGAGTTTTTTTTAACTTGACTTGTCTTAAAATGAGATTTGCCAATGAGACAAGCAATTTTGACTTGATTCAAGAACTATTGCTTTATTTTCTCATTCCAAAAGAAAAATATCTTGTATCTTTTTAAAACAAGACCATTTCTCTTGTTCCACTGGAAAATCTTGTTTTAAGGCAGTCAAAATGTGCTCATATTTAGATACATTTAGCCAAATTTGAGATTTTTTTTGTCTTTAATTCTGTCATCTTTTGCAGTGTACCTGTTCGTGGTCAGTTTTTTCTCGCTGACAAAACGGTTTGCTTCCATCTCCAGTTTTTACATGTATTTTTTTGGCCTCTCTCACATCATTCGGTCGAGTTTTTCAGACGGAAAAGTTAAAAAAGAAGCATGTTCGGGTCTGCTTTATTCGCTAAAATGTACCGTATCCCCAGACTCTTTCTGTTGAGACACACATGCACAAGGAGTTAGATACCCCAGCTTTAAATGTACAACTGTTCTGAGGTGGGGGGGACGTTCTGGTTTAGTGCCCTAACGTGGAATATGGAAGCGACCCTCACACAGACTTTACAAAGGCCTAGAAACTGTCGAAGCATGCAGAAGTATAAGATATTATGTAACCTGAATGTGTTGCCATTTTTTTGTATATTAATTAATACATTGTTTTTAAAGGTGCTGAAGATATACATACTTTTTTTTCTAAATTATTTCATTCAAAACCTTTTTTTTTTTTTTTTAAACACATTCCTTTTTCGTTCGGCATTTTCAGACGGTTGTCACATCACTGTATTTTAAAGGAGATAAGTGATTCTTGTTTATGTTTTTACAGCTGGAAATACAAAATCAAAGCCAAGAAGTAGAGTATTCAGTGTTGAGCAGTTATCACTTGGTCATTTCCCAGTTAAGACTTTGAAATATCTGAAATTAGTCCTTGCCAATTACGACATTTTTAACTTTAGCTGCAATATTTTTTGTTTTACCAATTCCCTTGTTAATAATTAGCAACAGCAGGTGGTCCCTACTGAAACTGACCACTTCTGCTGCGGTCGTTGCACTTGTGTCAAATCCAATTGACTTTCTGATCCACAAATAACTAACTTCTCACAATCATTCTCAACCACAGTCTCTCAGGTGCAAACATGGCTTCTCCCTCCTGCTTCTCGCCCAGTTTGCTTTCAAAAACCAATGAAAAAGGTGGAATTTAAAGTTATTTCAGCCCTTCATGTTGTATATAATGTGTCGATTGAAAATTTAATGTACAGTCTTTTATAATAAACAACTATATGTACATTTGTGTGTTTGGATTGATTTTAACCTGTGTGTTATTAATAAATGATTAGAGCAGACTTAAAAAAAAACAAAAGTGATTTATTGAGAGCACAGGTTGTAGATGTTTGGCCTTTGTGGACGGATAAATGCAGCTCGGACATGTCGGCCGGACCAGAGCAAAAAGGCAAATGTATACAGTACTTTGAACAGGACTCCCAGAGCAGTCACTTTGACAGGTTTGGAAGCGTCATTACTCAGCTCGTGTACCTTTGACTTGCTGTAAATGTATTTTTTTAACGAAATTCTTATTCTTGAAATGCGAAGAGTTCTAAGTTTTATTCATTTAAATGTTAATTTCAAAGCCATTGTAGCCATTTCTGGTTAATTGGCAACTAACCTATGACATTTAAACTTCAGGATTCTGGTTCAGAAAGTCACCATAAAAAAACTGTTTAATGACAATTTGTATTTTGCAGCCTTTAAACCAACTTTTACTGCAATTCAAGATATATTCACCAGTTTTAACATTTATAAACAAGTAAAATCCTTATAAATTTAGATATTTCACAGAATTTTATTTATTTGAATGAGAGCCATGAAAATGACTGCACTGAGAGTTCTCGTAGTTTCAGTATTAAGGTTTGAGCTGTGGTGCCACACATTTTAAATATACAGATGTCATTCACTTCAATTCAATATATATATTTATATATTCTCAGTCCACTTTGAATTCAAGTGAAATTCCCTCTCGGTACAAAGCTCTAGACGCACCAGTCCAAAGAACCCTCGATAGTTTCTCGTCTCCCAGGCTAGGGCACTGCACGTGGGCCTGAAGGTTCTCCAGCTCTGTCCCGACTGGAGGTGCCCTGGGCCCGGCCTGAGGCTCCGGTAGCTGCCTGAAGAGTAGCCTGGCAGGGCAGGTTCATTTGTCTCTGGAGAGCACCATCTCTGTGAGTCGGATCAGGGCGTCCCTCTCCGGTGAGGGCCGCAGCAGGCTGACCTGTCTGATGGCCTCCTGACAGTAGCGCTGGGCCAAGAACCGGGTCTGCTGCACGCCGTCGCTCTGGAGACAGAGACTGTGTGAGATCTTTGGTTTGCTTTATGCACACGACAGAACATTAACAAAGACGGTACCTGAAGAACGTACTGCCAAGCCTGATCTACGTCTCCTTTGGAGCTGAAACGCCTCATGATCATCGCATGGAGCTCAGGAAACTGCAGAGAAAAACATCTTAGGCCCAGTGTCCACATAAAGTCCGATTCAGGACGGAACGCAAAAATACTTTATCAATCCAGACAAAGCCGGCTTTTTGGGGTTTGACTACACAGTTTGGAAACAGGTTCCACTGTGAGTAACAGGAAATCACAAACTAAGAATTTACTTTGGCTCTCGGTGCAAACAAGTTCTAAAAGTAAAAATAGAAAAAAGCCAAGTATAAAAATACTACTATAAACATTAAGATAGATCAGTCAAGAGAGACAGACAGAGAAAGAGAAACAAAGGAGATGAAGAGAAAGAGAGAGACCAAGGAGACAGAGGACTTTGTGCTAAAAGACATTTCTGAAACTTCACCGGTTTTGTGGATGTTGCATAAATTCTCATTGTTTTATTAGCCAACAGTACAATCCTTCATCATTCAAAGCCCCGGGGCCTGAGGAGTGTGTAAAATATGATTGGTACCTGTTGACATGCGAACAGAACCGGTCCAGTGGCCAGGCCCAGTTTGAGGTCTGCCGTTGTGGGCTTCCCCAACTGACTGACCTCTGCCGTAAAATCCAAGACATCGTCAACCAGCTGCAACACGGAGACAACGTTACTCCAGACATTTTGTACCAAACATATCGACGCTCACACAATCACCATCACCAACCTGAAAAGCTATTCCAACATTTCGTCCGTACTGGAAAGCAATTTCATGGACTTCTGGATCAGGACTAACGAGGATTGACACCTTTAAAAACACACAAACAGACATGAATCAAATGAAGTTAAGCTGCAGATGCAAATGTGTCCTTCTGGCATCATGCGAAGACAGAACGTACATACTGCTTTGCAACTGTTGGCGATGAGGCTGGCCGTCTTCTTGAAGGTCTTCTCCAGGTAGTGCTTGAATCGCTCGTTCTCGTTTTCCTTCGAGCCCAACTGCATGAACTCACCTTGTATGCAAAGTCAAAATGGCGAGTCAGTAAGAAAATTATTATGCAAAAAACGTAGTTGAATAATACGTTATTTAAAAAGGTACAAGGTAGTTTTTATTCCCATCTAGCATTGAGATCATACATTGTAATCTACAGTACTACGGTAGCGTCGCAGGACAATATGTGGTCTTTCAAAGTGAACCCCAACTCCCGCTCAAACCCCTTTTTGTCCCTTATCGACCATCCATCCATCCATCCATCCATTTTCTTCCGCTTTATCCGTTGCCGGGTCGCGGGGGCAGCAGTCTAAGCAGAGACGCCCAGACTTCCCTATCCACACACACTTCCTCCAGCTCGTCCGGGGGGACCCCAAGGCGTTCCCAGGCCAGCTGAGAGACATAGTCCCTCCAGCGTGTCCTGGGTCTTCCCCGGGTCCTCCCGGTGGGACGTGCCCAGAACACCTCCCCAGGAAGGCGGGACATTTATAAGTCAAGTTCTTAGCCTAAGATAACAATTCAAAAACTTGGTGGAGGTAAATATTCTTAAAAAGGTCACATTTGTTATTGGTCGACGTGTTTTTCATTTGGAGCACAGGGTTCCTTTAAAGCAGTTTCTCTCACCTCGTACTAGATCCTCTATGACCTGAGACAGCACTTTCACCACTGAGATGTTCCCGATCCGAGCCAGAGCCATCGAGGCGACTGAAAGGATGAAATCTCCGGCTAAGATCGCCTAACGAGCAAAACACACACCCATCAGACGTTCAAATCTTCATTTCAAACCGTGCACAACTGTTGAGAACGCAGCCACGGCCGGTCACTGCGCACCTTTCTCTCCCCCCACACTTCGTTGATGGTCCGTTTGCCCCGGCGCTGGTCCGACCCATCGATGACGTCGTCGTGCACCAGGCTGGCCGTGTGGATCATCTCCGAGATCATGGCGATGGCTCTTTGTCCGGGAATCAGGTCGCTACGAGAACGCCACAAACAAACACGTTCACGTTGATGCCACTGAGCAGAGCCTTGTCCGTGTTTCAGACTTAGAGAACATTTGACGGGACGGAAATCTAAACCAGTCTGAAAGCCGACAACAAGGAGAGTAAAACGGTTTTGACTGGATTCAGGATGTTCTGAGCTTTTCAAATTACCGTCATTTCTGGAATATAAGCCATTACTTTCTTCTTTGAACTCCGGGGCTTATAAACCGATGAGGCTAATATGTGTTTTTATATTGTGGTAAAGTGGGCTATTGTCAGAGCAGAGTTTATGGACTTATTATTTCAACTCCAACAAGTTTTAGTAGCTGTAGGACACTTGTTTATTGTCAAAATACTGTAGATGAAGGTGATGAAGTCGTGGAAGCTAACGGTTAAGGTGTTAAACATTAAGTAAATGTCCAGATAAAACAGTCATCTACATTCCAACATGAGAACCTGCAGCTTCTATTCCAGTTCAATCCGATCTATGTGTAGACATTATTTTCAAATGCATGTGCTGTGACTTATACACAGGTGCACCTTATAGTCCAGAAAGTACTGCAGGTTGACGACTCGTTAATTATACTTGAATATACTGAAATTTAACATTTAAGACATTGCCATTCATTAACAAGCTCACGAGTTTAACAGTACAGAGTATAATTTAGTGATTAAATTCAAATAACCACATATCCTCGTCTCACCCGTCTCTGTTGTTGTGTATATTCATTGCACGAGCCATAAGGACAACAATCATTGGTCGGATGGCTTTCCCTTTGCCATCAAAGTAGTAATCGCAGAGAGACTTGAGTTCTGTGCCGACAAACAGCTCCTGCGACCAGAAGAGCAATGACATTTTCAAAAAGATAAGAGTTCCTTTATTCGTCCCACAGAGGGGAAATGTCAATGTTGCAGCGCACAGACAGGACAGTAGTGAGAGCACAAAGGGAGCACACAAAATATACAAAATAAGTGTTAGCTATGTGTCTTAACTAGCTGTAAATACTGTAAATACTTCAATACCAGTAAAAACTAATTATATATATCTAGTGCGGAGTTATAAACTGTATATATAGGGCAGGAAAATTAGTAGATAAAGTAAAGTGACGTTATTCAGTGGACATTCTGGAGTTGCAGGTGAATCCGGCTTCAGGTTTTTGTTTACTTGAATAGAAAACGATCCTACCTTTTTAATGTCATCGTACAAAGTTGTCAAGTCGCCCTGTGCCAAGGAGAACGGGTCTTTAGGCTTTGCATCACTGTGTATTGGTCTACAACACTGAACCGTTGGATGTAGGAATTTTGGTTTATGCCTGGAGAAAAACATAATAATAATTAGTCCGTTAAAACAAGTGTCCAGAATGTTTTGTGAATCTTTTATCAAGTTGATTGCATGTGAAAGTATGTACTCACCGGTGGAAAACAGAAATCTTTTGTGAGGTAATCAATGTTTGCTGCGGCAGTAATGATGGCTGCACCTGAAAAAAAAGATTGTAAACTCATTTATCCAACAAGAAACCAGCTGCAATTCACAACAGCAGTCATATCGAAGGAATTCATAAAGTTGTCGATTCCCGCACAACAGATCAGAAAATCGAACAGCTCAAAAACAGGAAATGCAATAATAACCAAGGAGCCATCCGGGGATGCCCAATGTGCATAAATGTTAATAAATAACTAGAATAAAATACGTGTAATTTTATTCAAATATTTATAATAAAACAACAGGCAAACAGAGAGCAAAGTGGAAGTAGCGTTTACGTCAGAGAACAGTGGATAATTGAATAAATGAATCAGAATTAATGGATTTCTGACGCACAAACACATGTAACACTAAAGTTATGAGGGAGGGTCAAGTTTTAAGGTCAGGTAGATTCTTGACCTTTCTTCACAGATCTTACCAACTTACCACAAGGAATTACACACTAAACCTACTCAACACGAAACACCATAAACAGTACGATTGCGAGCAGCCTGATGATATGGATGTAATTTATGATGTGCGTGATTGTAGATCCATGTGTAAAGGTGTAAGTGACAGCTGATGCCTGTGACCTTCCGAGTTCGAACGCTCCCTCCCTGAACCGGCGTCACGACCGCACAAACTCACCTCGTTCCCGGGCGTCCCCCTCCAGGGCATCCGTGCTAAATGCGCCGCGGTGGAGGACAGGCGCTTGCAGTGATGGAACCGCAGGGTTTCAGACGCAGACACGCCCGAACAGACTGTACTCCACGTCCTGATCGCGGACAACCACGGACCCGCCATGATCAGCGGCGTGCATTACAAAACCGGAAGAAAACGGGTCGCAGTTTGATGACGTCGACAGAAGTTATCTCATTATGTATTTCTATCAATATTTACCGTCTATGTTTTATATTCGATATTTTAATGTAATAGACACGGATATAATGTTTAGAAAATGGTTAAGAAATGTATAAAGTTATAAATTGTCACATTAATAATAATTAATAATTTTACATCTACTGTTTACGGTATATATGGTGTTCCCTTTTACAAACATGGATCTATGATAATAACAAGGTATTTACCAACCTCAGCTTGTTGGCATTTTGAAAAATAAAAAATAATTGAATTAAATTGAAGGCACGGTTAAGTCAAAAATATGACTTGTTAAGACCATAGACTGTATACAAGCCGCACACACACTTCCTGTTTTGGCCTTACTTCATGGTGGATAATGTATTACATAGAGATACCATACATTCAATATTTACAGTCCGTGCATTGATAGACCGTATATGAAAGATACAAACTCATGAAGCATGCACTTCTGTCATCACTAGGGGGCGCTGATGCACCATGGAATGTTCTACGCGACATAAACAAATCAAACATCAAAAAGAAAAGCTTTTTATTAAAGAACAATGGAACAAATACAAATATCTGGTCTTTCTTTATTAGCTATGTGTATTGTAAAACTTCTGGACTAACTCAATAGCTTGAACTTCTATATATAGTTAATGAACTTATGGGCACTGTAAAAGAAATATTCACAATTATTAAATATTATACACTTTAATACACATTATTTACTCAGTATATAAAACCATTATGTGCCAAAACAAAACTCAAACTTACCATTCTCATTCAATTAAAAACAGTAGCTCATGACAACCCTTTTGGCTTCATGAAATATTAATATAATTCTGAATATTGTTTTTAAGGATCTTTTTTTATTAGTGGACGTATAAGATTATTATAAAATAAACATGGAAAATATCTATTTTAAACCTCTAATAGTAATGGGTTGGAGTTTTGCAGTCTTTAAAACAACCAACTAGACAGGTTCAAACACATTCCTGCTGAATTGAGGAATTAATATCACCCAAATGCACTAATCAGAGGCAGGTCTTGGTTTGTCAGTTAAATATAATGGAGAACTTTTAGAATACATTGTAACAGTATTCCTACTTGAGTCAATAAGGACACAATCCCAATCACATCAATACTAAAACATATTTTGTTTGTCATAATCGGTTCTCTCTATTTTCTTCTACGTGAGCAATTATTTTCTCTAGTTGAGTACAGTTTTGAATACTCTCAGGGCACGTTCACACTTGTCGGTCTGGTTCACTTTAACTGGACCGATTCTGGGAAATAAGTAAGTATTAAGTCATCTGCAGCGAAACTCATGCATAAATGTTAACCACTCAGACACCAGGCCCAATGCTTCACAGATCTGTTTCAAGCGATTTTACATTCACAAATAAAGCAGTTTTTGCACCAAGTTCACCCGAATCGGCCCAGTGAACAACAGTGGTCCAGTTAAAGTGAACCAGAGTGTGGCAGTTCATAAGATCATTCCAAAGTTTGGCCCCTAAATAAAGGTCCTTTTTAAGTCCACAGTACGACACAATTTTGTTTCTTTCATTAATTTCCTTGTTTTTTCCTCATGGCCAGCATCAGTTCTGACATGAAGTCCCCTCCTCCTCCTCCTCCTCCTCCTCCATGCAGCGACGGTGTTATCCTCTTTGGCGGTGCAGGCGGAGTCTTCTTCAGGGACCCAGCAGTACGCACCGCCAGTTTTGGTCCAGCTACGGGACCGAGCGAGGCTGGAGGTGGAGGAGGTGGAGGTGGAGGAGGAGGTGGTCCCCCTGCCCCAGAGAAAACCTGCGGAGGAGGAGCTGGGAAGCAGGGGTCCGGGGGTGGAGGCGGCAGGTTGAATGCTGGGGGAGGAGGTGGGAGAGGCATGGAGCTCAGTGCTGGAGGAGGCGGGAGAGGCATGGAGCTCAGTGCTGGAGGAGGTGGGAGAGGCATGGAGCTCAGTGCTGGAGGAGGCGGGAGAGGCATGGAGCTCAGTGCTGGAGGTGGAGGGAAACTTGCTGCCGGTGGAGGAGGTGGTAAGAAGTCCGGTGGGGCCTCCTCGTTGGGGGGAGGCGGTGGCGGAGGAGGCAGGGGGTCCACGGAGGAGGGTGGTGCAGGAAGTCGGTTGGAGGGCGAGCGGTGCTTAGAGGGGAGTTTGGCAGAGCTCTTAGCGGCCAGAGGAGGAGGAGGTGGAGGAGGTGATGGTGCAGGGCCAGACGGGAGGAGAGGGAAGGGGTGAACGGTGGCTGGGGGAGGAGGGGGAGGAGGGGGAGGAGGTGGGGGTGGAATACCTCCAAAGTCCTGGGAAAAAAAAGAAAACAGCCCAATGAGAGGACAAAAAGAGACATTTTCTATTTGCAGTTATGTACTGTATCTATCATTATCTATAGTTTTATTGTATCTGTGTGACAGTAAATACAGTGTGAGCCTTGAACCAAATACAAACTAGTATCTGCACATTTACCTGAGGGATGGGTCCTGGGGGGGGAGGGGCGTGACCATTGGCCTGGCTCGGGGATTTAGCTGCAACACAACAACAGAAGGCAACATTAATGAATTAATAACATTGTTGTAAGTTTTTGTCAAACACACATTTTGGCTTTTGTTTTGTTCAGAAAAATCTACCAGAAAATGGACCAAACTCTTGTAAAAGCAACAGAAGTCAAAATACTTTCACAATTTAGAAAAGATGTGTTTTTAGTTGTGGTGACCAAACTAATTCTTTGGTTGATAGTGGGAGATGGTTCTGTACCTTTGATAGTGGGAGATGGTTCTGTACCTTTGATAGTGGGAGATGGTTCTGTACCTTTGATAGTGGGAGATGGTTCTGTACCTTTGATAGTGGGAGATGGTTCTGTACCTTTGATAGTGGGAGATGGTTCTGTACCTTTGATAGACGGAGATGTCTGTGTACCTTTGATAGTGGGAGATGGTTCTGTACCTTTGATAGTGGGAGATGGTTCTGTACCTTTGATAGTGGGAGATGGTTCTGTACCTTTGATAGTGGGAGATGGTTCTGTACCTTTGATAGTGGGAGATGGTTCTGTACCTTTGATAGTGGGAGATGGTTCTGTACCTTTGATAGTGGGAGATGGTTCTGTACCTTTGATAGTGGGAGATGGTTCTGTACCTTTGATAGTGGGAGATGGTTCTGTACCTTTGATAGTGGGAGATGGTTCTGTACCTTTGATAGTGGGAGATGGTTCTGTACCTTTGATAGTGGGAGATGGCTGTGTACCTTTGATAGTGGGAGATGGTTCTGTACCTTTGATAGTGGGAGATGGTTCTGTACCTTTGATAGTGGGAGATGGTTGCGTACCTTTGATAGTGGGAGATGGTTCTGTACCTTTGATAGTGGGAGATGGTTCTGTACCTTTGATAGTGGGAGATGGTTCTGTACCTTTGATAGTGGGAGATGGTTCTGTACCTTTGATAGTGGGAGATGGTTCTGTACCTTTGATAGTGGGAGATGGCTGTGTACCTTTGATAGTGGGAGATGGTTCTGTACCTTTGATAGTGGGAGATGGTTCTGTACCTTTGATAGTGGGAGATGGTTGCGTACCTTTGATAGCAGGAGATGGCTGTGTACCTTTGATAGCAGGAGATGGCTGTGTACCTTTGACAGTGGGAGATGGCTGTGTACCTTTGATAGTGGGAGATGGCTGTGTACCTTTGATAGTGGGAGATGGCTGTGTACCTTTGATAGTGGGAGATGGTTGTGTACCTTTGATAGATGGAGATGGCTGTGTACCTTTGATAGCAGGAGATGGCTGTGTACCTTTGATAGTGGGAGATGGCTGTGTACCTTTGATAGTGGGAGATGGCTGTGTACCTTTGATAGTGGGAGATGGCTGTGTACCTTTGATAGTGGGAGATGGTTGTGTACCTTTGATAGCAGGAGATGGCTGTGTACCTTTGATAGATGGAGATGGCTGTGTACCTTTGATAGTGGGAGATGGTTCTGTACCTTTGATAGTGGGAGATGGCTGTGTACCTTTGATAGTGGGAGATGGTTCTGTACCTTTGATAGTGGGAGATGGTTCTGTACCTTTGATAGTGGGAGATGGTTGCGTACCTTTGATAGTGGGAGATGGTTCTGTACCTTTGATAGTGGGAGATGGTTCTGTACCTTTGATAGTGGGAGATGGTTCTGTACCTTTGATAGTGGGAGATGGTTCTGTACCTTTGATAGTGGGAGATGGTTCTGTACCTTTGATAGTGGGAGATGGCTGTGTACCTTTGATAGTGGGAGATGGTTCTGTACCTTTGATAGTGGGAGATGGTTCTGTACCTTTGATAGTGGGAGATGGTTGCGTACCTTTGATAGCAGGAGATGGCTGTGTACCTTTGATAGCAGGAGATGGCTGTGTACCTTTGACAGTGGGAGATGGCTGTGTACCTTTGATAGTGGGAGATGGCTGTGTACCTTTGATAGTGGGAGATGGCTGTGTACCTTTGATAGTGGGAGATGGTTGTGTACCTTTGATAGATGGAGATGGCTGTGTACCTTTGATAGCAGGAGATGGCTGTGTACCTTTGATAGTGGGAGATGGCTGTGTACCTTTGATAGTGGGAGATGGCTGTGTACCTTTGATAGTGGGAGATGGCTGTGTACCTTTGATAGTGGGAGATGGTTGTGTACCTTTGATAGCAGGAGATGGCTGTGTACCTTTGATAGATGGAGATGGCTGTGTACCTTTGATAGATGGAGATGGCTGTGTACCTTTGATAGCAGGAGATGGCTGTGTACCTTTGATAGCAGGAGATGGCTGTGTACCTTTGACAGTGGGAGATGGCTGTGTACCTGTGATAGGTGTACCTTTGATAGTGGGGGAGGGGGTGGATTGGTTGGAGCTGGAGAACATGGCGCTGAGCGAGGCCTTCTTCGCAGACGTTTGGAAGTTTTCATACAAAGTTTTTCCGTACTGACGGGAAAAAAACACATAATTATAACATTTTTACTGTTCTTTTTGTGTCATCTAAAGCTGGGGTACCTAACTTTCAAATCACAAAAATATATAATCATGCACAAAAATAAAATCTGAATAACTAGTTCCACTTTGCTCCTATTACTTATTTTACTATTTGTATTTTTAATGTTATTATTTCACTAGTTTTTATCTGGATGAGTTGTACCTTTGCTATCCGGATCCCGGTCACCCACAGCCTCAGCGTCCGCTCGTCGTCACAACAAACATATTTAATGTACTGCGAGTCTTTCTGGATCTGCGGGTGCTGCAAACACACACATGATAGGATCAAGTTAGATTTATACAACTCTGAATACATGTACCTACTCTACTCTACTCTACTCTACTCTACTCTACTCTACTCTACTCTACTCTACTCTACTCTACTCTACTCTACTCTACTCTACTCTACGCTACTCTACGCTACTCTACGCTACTCTACTCTACGCTACTCTACGCTACTCTACTCTACGCTACTCTACTCTACGCTACTCTACTCTACTCTACTCTACTCTACTCTACTCTACTCTACTCTACGCTACTCTACTCTACTCTACGCTACTCTACGCTACTCTACGCTACTCTACTCTACTCTACGCTACTCTACTCTACGCTACTCTACTCTACTCTACCCTACTCTACTCTACTCTACTCTACGCTACTCTACCCTACTCTACTCTACTCTACCCTACTCTACCCTACTCTACTCTACTCTACTCTACTCTACTCTACTCTACTCTACCCTACTCTACTCTACTCTTCTCTACACTACTCTACTCTGTGCTCTACTCTTCTCTACTGTAGTCTACTCTACTCTGCTCTGCTCTACTCTACTCTACTCAAGTCTAGTCTAGTCTAGTCTACTCTATTCTACTCTTCTCCACCTGGTTGCATTTCCATTATGCTTTAGTATCTAGTCCCATAGCCTCTCATCCTCCCCGGCCTGGGTAGAACCAGGACCAAGCAGGTACTACACGGCCAGTGAAAACTCTCCCAATCAGGTTAGAGTAGAGTAGAGTATAGTAGAATAGAGTCGAGTAGAGCTGTACGGCTTCAGTAGGATTTGAGTAATAACCAAAACATAAAATATACATGTGATTTTTAGACAATCATAAGAAAAAAATCCTTAAAACTACTGCTTTAAAAGGTTAGAATGTGTGTTTTTGTGTTTATCACCATTTTACATTCATTACGTCATATTTTGAGGACAAGTTTTGTATTTGCTTAGGCTCTTGGTTCGTTATGACATCCCCGAAGCTCAGCAGTGCATTGCCTGGACTGTACTGTGATGGGAGACCACTGAGTACAGCCACAGTGGGACGGCTGTGACTCAAGCTCTAGTGTATGCGTAAATGAAGAGGCCGATGGCTGAGTTTGGCCGCCTCAAATTTTGCTCTAATTTAGCTGATATTATTGACTTGAGTAAACGCCTCTAACTCTGAAACGATTTGTGTCGCTTGAGACATGAGCCGTAAGGTTTGACCAATCAGATGCTTTCATTCTTGGTGGAAAATCATGCTTGCGTGCGTTAGTAACCGTCTTAGCCGCCCATATAAGGAAATTGGCTCCAGCTATCTTATGATAAAACCATATTCTTCAGTTTTTTGGCAAACACTATGATGACGTCAGCACTCTGTTGGTCTACTGTTAAATTATTCTTTTGCAGAATATTTAGGCATATGCTGAAAAAGTAACATTTCCTCGAGACGTATATTCATCTTTGTCATAAATGTGTGTTACCTTGAGAACAAAGCAGAAGTCTGTGGGCGCCTTGTATTTGTTCTTAAAGTCCTGACCGTAGTACACGTTCACGTTGTCAAATTGCACGAAGCAGACGAGGTCACGGGAGGACTGCAACACACACACACACATGAACACACACACGTACACACACACATATACACACACACACGAACATACACACACAAACACACACATGAACATACACACACAAACACACACATACTGTATATACAGACACACATACAGTACACATGAACGCACGTACACACACACACATAAATACACACACATAGACACGTACACACACACACATAAATATACACACACACACACACACACACACACACAAATACACATACAGATATACACAAACACACACACACGCACACCCACAAATACACATACAGATATACACAAACACACACGCAC